ACTACTGAACAAAGATCTGAGGACAGCCCATTACGGGTCACATCTGAACGATCTTTTGCAAACTCTGACCAACCAATTGACTGACAAGAAGTCGATATTAGCCAATCAGAAGGCAGCTTTCTCAAACTGGCGACTTCGCTTCAAACATATTTTGATAAATTCTTGATTAAGAATTTGAAAACTGACCAAACGAACATTCTGGGATGGATATTTGATGGCCCAGATTGTATGGATTCAGTCCTGAAGCCTGCAACTCTCATTTGGAATTTTTCAAGGTTGCATGATTAGAAAACACATTCTGACTCACTTTCATGTTCTGATTGATGGGATGTCCTCAGATCTTTTTAGCGGTAGCAAGAACTAAGATCTGATTTAAATGAGATTGAGGTGTAAAAATATGGTGGGGTCATGATACAATTTGATGACCTGTAATGGGATGTCCTCAGATCTTTGTTTAGCGGTAGTGAGAACTAAGATCTTATTGTAATGAGATTGCATATATGTAGATGTTCATTATGATGAATAGCTGGTTGGAATAACAAAGAATGTGAACAACTTACAAGTTTACAATACATGTTTGACCCTGCATTATAATAATTGAGTGTACCACCAACTTAATTACTAAATTAATGTTACTTCGAGACACATGCAATATAACACAATGAATATGTCACATAATGATTGTTGAAAACATTTGATTCTGCCATGTAGAATAAAAGTTTTTGCATGCAGATGCATTTCTTGTTTTTCTCCTGTAGTGAGCACTATAATGTTGCTTGGCCTTGCAGTCTGAGGTTCCAACTATATCATGGTCGCCTGTGATCGGCTCTCATCCAGGCATGGCAATGATTGAAAGTAAGAGCAGTGCTCCAGACTGGCAAGAAAGAGCATGCATTATCAGCCGGGACCCGTGAAGATTCCGGGGTAGAATAGGTCTTCAGCAACCCATACTTGCCGTAAAAGGCGACTATGCTTGTCGTAAGAGGCTAACAATTGCGTGGATCGATGCTCATGATGTCAATCACTGGATTGTCTGGTCCAGACTCAATTATTTTACAGACCGCCGTCATATAGCTGTAATATTGCTGAGTGCGGCGTTAAACAACAAACAAACAAACAAACAAACATTATCAGCCGGTCACAATGAAGCCATCCTATTGGCAGAAGACACATATGGAACACCAGGCCATATGACCTGAGAGTGTGAGGTGAAATGGGGTTTAAGGCTAAGAAAAATAAATCTTGGTTCTCAGGCACCGCCCGCATCATCATAAAGTTCATTCATAAATTAAATTTCCATTTAAAACAAAAAAATCCTTAAATATTCCATGTCCAACGGTAGTCAAATACTGTATTCCAATATTTTACTCATAAAAGAATAAATTATGTAGAGAGTAGGGCTTGTATACCTTCATGAATTGAATTCGTTATTTGTGGTCACTTGCATCAAATTTTTACGATGTTTTGGTAAAGAGTGTTTGTTTTTTTCATGTTGGTTATTAATCAAAGCGAGATATGCAAAATGGAATATAAACAAGCCATGCAGTAGCGTAGCTGGTGTCAGTTTGTCAAGACCCCTTATGGTACTGTCAACCAAAACATGAGGCTTTAGTATAAGCGTCATTGTTGTAATGTCTTGCTGCACAAAAAATATCACTGAAATAGTCAAACCTGAGCAATAATACATGATGTACATTTACGTACATTTTTAATAAACTTAAGTTTTACAATGATACGATGTCCCCCTCCCCCCCAACGCAGAGACAATACCAGCTGATTACCGTGTACATGTAACACTGTAAGTAAGTTGTTAATGTATTCAGGAATACATATTCATATTCATTACCCTATATTCGTATTTACTCGCCTCATAATGTATCTATGCAGCCCTAGTAGGGAGGACCCGTGAAGATTCCGGGGTAGAATAGGTCTTCAGCAACCCATGCTTGTCGTAAAGGGTGACTATGCTTGTTGTAAAAGCGTGGATCGATGCTCATGATATTAATCACTGGATTGTCTGGTCCAGACTCGATTATTTACAGACCGCCGTCATATAGCTGGAATATTGCCGAGTGCGGCGTTAAACAACAAACCAACCAACCAGCCAACCTAGTAGGATGGCCCTTTCTCAGGTTGATGGTACACAACTGTTTATTTGGTTACATAAAACGCACAAAAATCCACTGCCCGCCAGCACTATATTTTCAAAAACCATTGACTGAGGACCAATTCTTTTATTTTTAAAGGCCTAATGTTGTGAAAGATTATTGCGGCGTTTTTGTGTGTGTTCATGTGCATGGGTGTTTGATCATGCTCCCTTGCTTGTACGAGACCAGACGTGCCATTTTTATAGTGAAGGCCCACTGAGATACTACTCCGCAGTTTAACATGGATACCCCACTCAGACACAGTGAGTGTGAGGTGAAATGGGGTTTAACGTCGCGTCCAAGATTATTGCACTTATATAGCGACGTGCATGTGCTTGTTTGTGTGGCTGCTTGTACTAGTCCGGACTGATGCCGATTTATAGTGCTAGTTCACTGAGATACCATGTCGCAGTTTAACATGAATACCCCACTCAGACACAGTATACTGACTCCGAGCTGACCAGTCCTTGTTTTAGCCCCTTAATGCCGAGCGCCAGACAGGGTAACAACAAGTGCCATCTTTAAACGTCTTTTGGTATGACGCGGTCGGGGATCGAACCTCGGACCTTCCGCTCTCAGGCACAGTACTCCGAGACGACCGACCCGTGAAGATCCGAGATAGAATAGGTCTTCAGCAACCCATGCTTGCTGTAAAAAGGCAACTATGCTTGTCGTAAGAGGCGGCTAATGGGATCGGGTGGTCAGGCTCGCTGACTTGGTTGAAGCATGTCATCAATCCGAATTGCGTAGATCGATGCTCATGATATCAATCACTGGATTATTTACAGAACACCGTCATATAGCTGGAATATTGCTCAGTGCGGCGTTAAACAACAAACCAACCGAGCCGACCAGTCATGTAAGTGCACAAGCAAGGATTTAAAACACAAACAAGAGATCAGAGTACTTGTCAAAACATCGGCCACATTTATACACAGGACTCACTTGTAGCCCTCTTGAACACTGAGACTGAAACGAGACGGTTTCATACCAAACAATTCGTCCCCTAAATATACTACTCCACTTTTGAAAGGGATATTTTTTATCTTTCCATGATACACAAAACCGATTCTCATATGTCTGTACAGTCGTGCCTCGTTTATACTGACACTTGCGTCATTTCACAATTCGTCCGTATAAACGAATTTCCGTATAACTGAAACCAGCTTCTTACTGTAAGAGTTACTTCCCTTCAATTATGCAACTCATGAAATACACGTTTCAAAAAATCTGTCATGGAAGTTTGAACTTTACTTTGCTACACGGGATCGTGATAAGTCATTTGAATTTTATACCACTGAGCCACTGCTCTGGATAAACACCATCATCTAAAATTTTGTTAAATAACCTTACATATACAGGTAGCATAATGACTTGAGACGCCATATTATCGAATGGGATTACATGTACAATAAACAAGCTCGTCTCAAACATAACTCAGTGTCACTTGGTTAATTGACTTATCACGAATCAAAGGATTACCACCAGCGGAAGTGTATTGTCCGGGTAAGTGAGACAATTTTGTGTGCATTTCAGTGTTTTGTGTATGAAAATGACCATCCGGTTCCGGAAACTGAATTTCCGTATATACGGGTAAATTTATATAGTAATTATTTCGTTTTGAATGAAAATCGTCCGGGAACCGAGGTTTCCGGAGATCTGAAGTCCGTATAAGCGTGGCATGACTGTATATATAAATAGAATGACCGTCTGACTATCCCTTTCAAACGTGGCACGCTACACATAAAAGTCTTCACAAACTGTTTGTCTATGTAAGTTTATTCAATGTGCTATATACAAATATTACATATTAGTGAGTGAGTGAGTTGGGTTTAACGCCGCTTTTAACAATATTCCAGTTATAATGCGGCATGTCAGCTTAATGTGGGAGGAAAGCCAGAAGTGATGCAGGTTTCAGACGGTTACCACTTCGGTGAAACCCACGAGCACGGGTATGGTGCTGACAAACCTAGAAACATAATTGGGGCGAACCAGGATTCGAACCCACAGTCATAGGTTTCTGGCTTGCCCAAGGGACGCAACTCTGCACAGCGAATCGCGGCGCCTTAGACGACTGGGCCACCCGTGCCCCCTATCACATATTAAATATTCAGCAAGATCACCATGTAAACAGAAACAATACAACAGTAAATGATGCAGATAAGGTGAGCTATTCTCATCTCACACATTGAGAATACAAGCACTGTAACAAATACAAAAAGGCCATTATTTATTAATTACCGTTTTCAACGTAATAAGCGCCCAGGGAGCTCTCAAAATTAGAAATAGGGCTCTCTTATTGAAATATTATTTTGGTGAAAACAACAGAGTTGAAAGATACATTTCGTCGTTTATGCTGACAGCCTGAAATGTTTATATACGACAGATATATTTTTCCAGAATTTAATTGCCCATAATTGAGGGTGCATATTACACACGAGTGCGTATTATACACGAATAAATAGGTCTTGTGTACATTGATCAATCGGAAGGGGTGCTAATTAGGATTGTTCACTAGCCAATATATTAGGAAATATCGCTGTGGGCGCTTATTAGAGCGGGGCGCTTATTACGTCGAATACGGTATTAAACTTTCATCCTCACCACCCAAACACCTCACATCATTTTTTTTTTCCCCATGTTACTACGGATAATGGAAATTCCTCTGTGTGTACCTTTTCTCTTTTTTTTTGCAATTAACATGTTTTTTTTGTTTTTTTGTTTGTTTGTTTGTTTGTTGGTTGTGTAACGCTGCACTCAGCAATATTCCAGCTAGAGCGGTGTGTAAATTTCGAGTCTGGACCTGACAATCCAGTGATTGACATCATGGGCATCGATCCACGCAATTGGGATACGATGACATGCATCAACCAAGTCAGCGAGCCTGACCACCCAATCCTGTTAGTCGCCTCTTAATGAAAAGTCGCCTTTTACGGCAAGCATGGGTTGCTGAAGATTTATTCTACCTCGGATCTGCACAGGTCCATTTTTATTATGCAAAAAACACAAGAGGAAACCCTCAGCAATGTAGTCAGGGATCCAAATATTGTGGCATGTAGCAGAATCTTTATGATTAGTACATAAATGAATATGATATACATGATAGTTCAGGAAACTTTTATTCATGAGGAGAAATATATTTGACAAAATTTTGATGAAATATTTGATGTGGAGCTGAGAATGAAAATCACACACTGATCCATTGACATAGCAGTAGTAGCTGTATATCCATTGACAGTTAGCATACACAGATGCCTTGAACAGTCTGTTTAAAAAATATAATACCCTTCAGTGTTTGAAATAATCTTAAAACCCCAATAGACAGTCGGGCAGGTGACCCATAAATGTTGCCTGCCCATCTTCAAGCTACCTGCCTGCATTGAGACATTATTGATATTGAAAAATCGTGAAAGATAAGAGACAAATCGTGTATTTATTAGTTGAAATAATGCAAACAATTACTTGAAATCTACAAGAAGATGATAAAACTGAATGCATAGTAGTCTTGAAATTGTCTGCAAGACAGGTGGGCAGGTAGAGGAAAATTTCAGACAGCCCAACAGAAGGGTTACTAGCCATAGGCAGGCGGGCCGGCAGTTATTTCGGACAGATACCCTTCGACCTCCATTTAAACCAAAAATATAATGTAGTAGCCTCATACAAAGAACTTTGAAAAAGGTATGTATTTCAAAAGAAGATGCTTAACAATTTTACAACTGCTTTGCAATGAAGGTGTGTTGCTAAGTACAACCTGAGACAAAGATGAGTAAACATGCTCTTCCATTGCATCTGTTTCTGTAGGGCTGTCCATCAGTCTGAGCACTAGCTGGTGTGACATGGCGCCACCTGATTTCACATATCAGATGTCGGGGGGTTTCACACTGTAGTCCTCATCTGTCTCCAGGCCGATCTCCTCCTGGCAAACACACAACTGTATCAGGTGGTACTGAAATGGGGTTCACGTCGTGTTCAAGATTATTGCACTTATACAGCAATGGTTTTATAGTTCTAGCCCACCAAGATACCATGCCACAGTTTAACATGAATACCTCATTCACACACAGTGTGCTAACTCCGAGCCAACCGGTTCTTGTTTTAGCCCCTCAACACCCCAGCACCAGGCAGGGTAACAACAAGTACCATCTTTTAACGTCTTCTTGTATGACAGCCGAGGATCAAACCTGACCTACCGCTCTACAGGCAGATTTATGTGGGGGAAAGCAGGTCTTAGATGTTTATCACTTTGGTGAAACCCACGAGCACAGGTATAATGCTTCCAAACCTAGAAACATAATCAGGGTGAACCGGGATTTAAACCAATGATCATAGGTTACTGGCGTGTCCAAGGAATGCAACCCTGTACAGTGCCACCTTTGACGACTAGTTGACCGGCCCTTGTTTTAGCCCCTAATGTTGAGCGATGGACAGGGAAACAACATCAAGGTACCATCTTTTGGTATGACGCGGCAGAACCATACCTGTACTCGTGGGTTTCACAAAAATCGTACAAATCTAAAAGCTGTGTTTCTTTGCAGGGTGTCCCCTCACACTAAGCTGACACTAGGGCTGGGACAATGCGATCGATACTTGTATCGGGAAATAAAATATTGTGATCCACCGATGCATCAGTGTATCGTCCACCACTTGCTGACATGCTGTGATACAACCTAAGAACAGTTCAAACCTTCTTCCCGAGGCAAGAGCATCCATAGCCTTCTTATCAAAGTCTTGTTTCCACCCTTGCCACATCAAGCCCACATTCCTGTGCTAAATATGATTGGACTATCGCACATGTTGAAAGTCCAGTCAGAGAACTTTTGACAAAATCCATATCCACGACTAATTAATAGGGCTGAAACGATATCCCGGGACACTGATGCATCGCGATTCACTCCATACGATACGGTGTGCGATTTGTGAGGTGCTGTATCTCGATTTTTCACGATACGTTTTTTTCAAAGACGTATATACGTACGTCTTTGTTTTTGTACATAAACTTTTATCACAGATACGTTTTAAATGTGTTTAAACTCTTTCAGGCACCGGCCAAGCCTTAGTCACGTCAAAATAGTATATATTTTTCTGGACCTACCTGTCATACCATTCATTTATTAAATCTATCACATCTTACAATGTCTGAAATACGAATTCTATTTCAATTTATCATTTTTTATCGATAGATTAAAAAGTTATTCACTATTTCCCGCATTGTTATTGAAAGTATAATTCTCGGACGCACACTTCGACAACGGGTGCACATCGAACATGTCAAAGAGCAAAACAAAGACGTTTCAAGCAAATCTTTAAATATATTATACAAAGTGATAAATAAAATCAACAAAAATATATCTAAAAGTGGTCCAACTTACAGCTAAGTTATTATTTCCATCTTTTTGTGCGATCGCGTGTAATGTTAGTCAAATGACATCTCGGCTTTCGGCGCCTCGAATTCTCGGCTCGGACACGATGTTCAATGCCAAAATATTTGCATGAAAAATCTTTGTCACAGCTTGTAACCTAGTATGATACGTCCACGAAGCTCCATATTTTTAATGTAGATCGCGATTTCCTGCTTCAAACGTTCAGAATAACACGATTTAACCAAAATATTTCGTAAAAATCTGAAATTCATCGTCCACGAGGATTTGTAATTTGATTGCCTGCCTCAGGTCACGTGCTCAAATTTGACCAATCATGAACCTTGTAGCAGATTTCGGCAAGAAAGCGTCATTAGGAACCATTTTTTATCCAATGAAACTTTATGTTATACCTACGAAAAGACTCCAGGCAATGTTACGAGCGTGTAGATGAAACAACAAGCTATCTAGCGATGTGTCATATGTCAGTCTTCGACGAACGTGTTATTCATACGAAGCTTTCGAAAACGGAGGTATTTCTTCATGTTACTTAGCGGACAGCCGCTGTTATCTGGAAATGGGTGAAATCAGATACTATTCATAATTCTTTTTAACATAATTTTCCAATTACGTAAATGAAAATAAAAAAGAAATAAGTAGATCTAGATCTTTTGAAATCTTATATTTGCCCCAAATCGTCAAATTTTCGCTTCCTTGGTCCTTAATCTGGACGTTATGAATGTGTTAGCTTACATTTTGTATATTTACAACGAACTTAATTAAGTTGTCAATGCATTATTTAAATAATGTTATAAACATAACTTTCATATTTATAAACACCAAGATTAGACCTTTCAAATAGTATGTAACATGGCTGTTGCTACAATTGTTTTTAATTGTTTTTTTTGACTTTATACATGAAAATGGCAGATCATTAGTTACTGGACACTGGTACATTTAGTATTTGCTCCTAGAATCTACTATCTAGTCACAACTCACAAATATGTAGAACTGTTACGTTGTGTTTGCTGGCCATTACATGGAAATGGCAGATGATTCATTAAGTTAAAATACTCATTACAGTATATATTTTATGACTCATGAACATTCATTCACTTTCATTCAATTTTTCATTTTAATAAACTAAGTTTAATTCATTTATCTCTTTTCTTCTCTTGTCACTCTGTGTATCGTAGCGTATCGAGATACGTATCGAATCGTGATGTAAGTATCGAGATACGTATCGTATCGTGACCTAGGTGTATCGTTGCAGCCCTACTAATTAACCTTCATATGAAAGTGATTTACCGCTGACTGTCTTTGTTGACATGAATATGTCTTTTAATCTTTTAAACCCCCAAAAGATTGCCTATGTTTTTGTGTCAGGGATGAAATCACGAATGTTTTCGTTATTTTATCACCTGGATCATTGCCTACCAACGTGGCAGTGGTATGTAAATAATTGAGTCAATCTGGACCAGACTGACATCAAGAGCATCAATCATGCAATTGGGTTATGATGACATACATCAGCCATGTTACCGAGCCTGACCACCGGATCCATTTAGTCACCTCCTACGACAAGGATAGGTTGCTGGGGACCTATCATCTTACCTGGAATCCCCATGAAATTGAAGAGTTTCTGTTATTATTCACCTTTTTACACCAACATAATTTGTCATGTCATGTATTGTATGTATCACAATACAGGGTGTAAATCAATGTCAAACATTTTTGTACAGCGCGGCAACCAACACCTCATCCACCAGTTTACCCAATCATATGAAACACACCCTATATGAAACACACCCTATATGAAACACACCCTATAGGGAAACACACCCTATATGAAACACACCCTATAGGGAAACACACCCTATATGAAACACACCCCATATGAAACACACCCTATATGAAACACACCCTATAGGGAAACACACCCTATATGAAACACACCCTATAGGGAAACACACCCTATATGAAACACACCCTATATGAAACACACCCTATAGGGAAACACACCCTATATGAAACACACCCTATATGAAACACACCCTGTATGAAACACACCCTATAGGGAAACACACCCTATATGAAACACACCCCATATGAAACACACCCTATATGAAACACACCCTATATGAAACACACCCTATAGGGAAACACACCCTATATGAAACACACCCTATATGAAACACACCCCATATGAAACACACCCTATATGAAACACACCCTATAGGGAAACACACCCTATATGAAACACACCCTATATGGAAACACACCCTATATGAAACACACCCCATATGAAACACACCCTATATGAAACACACCCTGTATGAAACACACCCTATAGGGAAACACACCCTATATGAAACACACCCTATATGAAACACACCCTATAGGGAAACACACCCTATATGAAACACACCCTATATGAAACACACCCTATATGAAACACACCCTATAGGGAAACACACCCTATATGAAACACACCCCATATGAAACACACCCTATATGAAACACACCCTGTATGAAACACACCCTATAGGGAAACACACCCTATATGAAACACACCCTATATGAAACACACCCTATAGGGAAACACACCCTATATGAAACACACCCTGTATGAAACACACCCTATAGGGAAACACACCCTATATGAAACACACCCTATATGAAACACACCCCATATGAAACACACCCTATATGAAACACACCCTGTATGAAACACACCCTATAGGGAAACACACCCTATATGAAACACACCCTATATGAAACACACCCTATAGGGAAACACACCCTATATGAAACACACCCTATATGAAACACACCCTATATGAAACACACCCTATATGAAACACACCCTATAGGGAAACACACCCTATATGAAACACACCCCATATGAAACACACCCTGTATGAAACACACCCTATAGGGAAACACACCCTATATGAAACACACCCCATATGAAACACACCCTATATGAAACACACCCTATATGAAACACACCCTATAGGGAAACACACCCTATATGAAACACACCCTATATGAAACACACCCTATAGGGAAACACACCCTATATGAAACACACCCTATATGGAAACACACCCTATATGAAACACACCCCATATGAAACACACCCTATATGAAACACACCCTGTATGAAACACACCCTATAGGGAAACACACCCTATATGAAACACACCCTATATGAAACACACCCTATAGGGAAACACACCCTATATGAAACACACCCTATATGAAACACACCCTATATGGAAACACACCCTATATGAAACACACCCTATATGAAACACACCCTATAGGGAAACACACCCTATAGGGAAACACACCCTATATGAAACACACCCTATATGAAACACACCCTGTATGAAACACACCCTATAGGGAAACACACCCTATATGAAACACACCCCATATGAAACACACCCTATAGGGAAACACACCCTATATGAAACACACCCTATAGGGAAACACACCCTATATGAAACACACCCTATATGAAACACACCCTATATGAAACACACCCTATAGGGAAACACACCCTATATGAAACACACCCTGTATGAAACACACCCTATATGAAACACACCCTGTATGAAACACACCCTATATGAAACACACCCTATATGAAACACACCCCATATGAAACACACCCTATAGGGAAACACACCCTATATGAAACACACCCTATAGGGAAACACACCCTATAAGAAACACACCCCATATGAAACACACCCTATATGAAACACACCCTATATGAAACACACCCTATAGGGAAACACACCCTATATGAAACACACCCTGTATGAAACACACCCTATATGAAACACACCCTATATGGAAACACACCCTATAGGGAAACACACCCTATATGAAACACACCCTATATGAAACACACCCTATAGGGAAACACACCCTATATGAAACACACCCCATATGAAACACACCCTATATGAAACACACCCTATAGGGAAACACACCCTATATGAAACACACCCTATATGAAACACACCCTATAGGGAAACACACCCTATATGAAACACACCCTGTATGAAACACACCCTATATGAAACACACCCTATATGGAAACACACCCTATAGGGAAACACACCCTGTATGAAACACACCCTATATGAAACACACCCTATAGGGAAACACACCCTATATGAAACACACCCCATATGAAACACACCCTATAGGGAAACACACCCTATATGAAACACACCCTATATGAAACACACCCTATATGAAACACACCCTATAGGGAAACACACCCTATATGAAACACACCCTATATGAAACACACCCTATATGAAACACACCCTATATGGAAACACACCCTATAGGGAAACACACCCTATATGAAACACACCCTATATGAAACACACCCTATAGGGAAACACACCCTATATGAAACACACCCCATATGAAACACACCCTATAGGGAAACACACCCTATATGAAACACACCCTATATGAAACACACCCTATAGGGAAACACACCCTATATGAAACACACCCTATAGGGAAACACACCCTATATGAAACACACCCTATATGAAACACACCCTATATGAAACACACCCTATAGGGAAACACACCCTATATGAAACACACCCTATAGGGAAACACACCCTATATGAAACACACCCTATATGAAACACACCCTATATGAAACACACCCTATAGGGAAACACACCCTATATGAAACACACCCTATATGAAACACACCCTATAGGGAAACACACCCTATATGAAACACACCCCATATGAAACACACCCTATATGAAACACACCCTATAGGGAAACACGCCCTATATGAAACACACCCTATATGAAACACACCCTATAGGGAAACACACCCTATATGAAACACACCCCATATGAAACACACCCTATATGAAACACACCCTATATGAAACACACCCTATAGGGAAACACACCCTATATGAAACACACCCTATATGAAACACACCCTATATGAAACACACCCTATAGGGAAACACACCCTATATGAAACACACCCTATATGAAACACACCCTATATGAAACACACCCTATAGGGAAACACACCCTATATGAAACACACCCTATATGAAACACACCCTATATGAAACACACCCTATATGAAACACACCCTATAGGGAAACACACCCTATATGAAACACACCCTATATGAAACACACCCTATAGGGAAACACACCCTATATGAAACACACCCCATATGAAACACACCCTATAGGGAAACACACCCTATATGAAACACACCCTATATGAAACACACCCTTTATGAAACACACCCTATATGAAACACACCCTATAGGGAAACACACCCTATAGGGAAACACGCCCTATATGAAACACACCCTATATGAAACACACCCTATATGAAACACACCCTATATGAAACACACCCTATAGGGAAACAAACCCTATAGGGAAACACGCCCTGTATGAAACACACCCTATATAAACCATGCAGACACCACATGAAACTTACCAGAAGGTGTTTCTTGGTTTTAGGATAGCCCTCCAGAATGGCATTGATGATGTCTGTGCTCTAGAAAAGATGAGGTAGTAAGAAATAAGATAACTAAGTACAAATTTTACTTGGCATTTTATCCCAAGGCCATTTATTAAAAACATGTTTTGGGTAACGCAACTTATTATTATTTGAACTATGTAAAGCTAGATAGCAATGGCCTGAAAAAGCAACAGCCCCAACAAGTCTCAGCAACAGCCTCAACAAGTCTCAGCAATAGCCCCAACAAGTCTCAGTAATAGCCCCAAGCCTCAGCAATAGCCCCAACAAGCCTCAGCAGTAGCCCCAACAAGCCTCAGCAACAGCCCTAATAAGCCTCAGCAATAGCCCCAACAAGTCTCAGCAATAGCCCCAACAAGTCTCAGCAATGGCCAAAACAAGTCTCAGCAATAGCCAAAACAAGTCTCAGCAATAGCCCCAACAAGTCTCTGCAATAGCCCCAACAAGTCAGGGCTAGGGTTAGGGTTAGGCAATAGCCCCATCAAGTCTCAGCAATAGCCCCTTAACCAAGTTTCATTATTACAATGTGTCTCAGCAACAGCCCCAACATGTCTGGGATGTGTATTTCATGTAGTCTTCCAGGAGTTCTGTAATACAGGCACTCATGATGTTTCACTGTCACTATTCACTGTCTACAAATACTCACAATTCTTTTCCTCTTCCTCCACTCCTTCACATACTTGACTCTGTCCTTGTAAACCTGAGAATGAAGAGAGAGTGTCAAGTCAGGATTCCTTGATATGAACAGCTTCAGGTTGTCTAAGGCTCATTAATCACAGGTTTGTGTCCACATTCAATTATCTAAAGGCTGCCATCATAAAGATGATTGTGGCATGAACCAACAAACAACAATCTGAACAGGCTAGGTATTTCCCCATTATTCAATGACTGTGAACATATTGAAAAGTGGTAAATTTATCAGGAGAGAGAGTGTGAGTGAGAGTGAGTGAGAGAGAGTGAGTGAGTATGGTTTTACGCCGCTTTTAGCAATATTCCAGCAATATCACGGCGGGGGACACCAGAAATGGGCTTCACACATTGTTACCATGTCGGGAATCGAACCCGGGTCTTCGGCGTGACGAGCGAACGCTTTAACCACTAGGCTACCCGACCGCCCCTGAGAGAGAGTGAGAGAGAGAGAGGGAGGGATATTTCAATCATTAGGCCACTCCACCGCCCTAAGACATAACAAATGTATGGTCTTGCCTTGTCTTTCTCCTGGGGCGTTATCAACACCTTTCCTTCCTTCAACTTCCCCAACTTCTCCTGCAGTGACACCATCTGTAATGTAAATCAGGGGCTGGATGAACTACAGATTGACCACTAGGCTACCCGACGGCCCCCATATGTAATGTAAATCAGGGGCTGGATTAACCACAGACTGACCACTTTGCTACCCGACGGCCCCCATCTGTAATGTAAATCAGGGGCTGGATGAACCACAGATTGACCACTAGGCTACCCGACGCTCCCCATCTGTAATGTAAATCAGGGGCTGGATTAACCACAGATTGACCACTAGGCTACCCGACGGCCCCCATCTGTCCTGTAAATAAGGGGCTGGATGAACCACAGATTGACCACTAGGCTTCCCGACGCTCCCCATCTGTAATGTAAATCAGGGGGTGGATGAACCACAGATTGACCACTTGGCTACCCGACGGCCCCCATCTGTAATGTAAATCAGGGGCTGGATGAACCACAGATTGACCACTAGGCTACCCGACGGCCCCCATCTGTAATGTAAATCAGGGGCTGGATGAACCACAAATTGACCACTAGGCTACCGGGCGCTCCCCATCTGTAATGTAAATCAGGGGCTGGATGAACCACAGATTGACAACTAGGCTACCTGACGGCCCCATCTGTAATGTAAATCAGGGGCTGGATGAACCACAGATTGACCACTAGGCTTCCCGACGACCCCCATATGTAATGTAAATCAGGGGCTGGTTGAACTACAGATTGACCACTAGGCTACCCGACGCCCCCCATCTGTAATGTAAATCAGGAGCTGGATGAACTACAGATTGACCACTAGGCTTCCCGACGGCCCCCATCTGTAATGTAAATCAGGGGCTGGATGAACCACAGATTGACCACTAGGATACCCGACGGCCCCATCTGTAATGTAAATCAGGGTCTTGTTGAACTACAGACTGACCACTTGGCTACCCGGCGGCCCCCATCTGTAATGTAAATTAGGGGCTGGATGAACCACAGACTGACCACTAGGCTACCTGACGGCCCCCATCTGTAATGTAAATCAGGGGCTGGATGAACTACAGATTGACCACTAGGCTACCCGACGGCCCCCCATCTGTAATGTAAATCAGGGGCTGGATGAACCACAGACTGACCACTAGGCTACCCGACGGCCCCCATCTGTAATGTAAATCAGGGGCTGGAATAACCACAGATTGACCACTAGGCTACCCGACGGCCCCCATCTGTAATGTAAATCAGGGGCTGGATGAACCACAGATTGACCACTAGGCTACCTGACGGCCCCCATCTGTAATTTAAATCAGGGGCTGGTTGAACCACTGATTGACCACTAGGCTTCCCGACGGCCCCCATTTGTAATTTAAATCAGGGGCTGGATGAACCACAGATTGACCACTAGGATACCCGACGGCCCCATCTGTAATGTAAATCAGTGGCTGGATTAACCACAGATTGACCACTAGGCTACCCGACGGCCCCCATCTGTCCTGTAAATAAGGGGCTGGATGAACCAAAGATTGACCACTAGGCTACCCGACGGCCCCCATCTGTAATGTAAATCAGTGGCTGGATTAACCACAGATTGACCACTAGGCTACCCGACGGCCCCCATCTGTCCTGTAAATAAGGGGCTGGATGAACCAAAGATTGACCACTAGGCTACCCGACGGCCCCCATCTGTAATGTAAATCGGGGGTGGATGAACCACAGATTGACCACTAGGCTACCCGACGACCCCCATCTGTAATGTAAATCAGGGGCTGGATGAACCACAGATTGACCACTAGGCTACCCGACGACCCCCCATCTGTAATGTAAATCAGGGGCTGGATGAACTACAGATTGACCACTAGGCTTCCCGCCGACCCCCCATCTGTAATGTAAATCAGGGGCTGGAAAAACCACAGATTGACCACTAGGCTACCCGACAACGCCCCATCTGTAATGTAAATCAGGGGCTGGATGAACCACAGATTGACCACTAGGCTACCTGACGGCCCCCATCTGTAATGTAAATCAGGGGCTGGAGGAACCACAGATTGACCACTAGGCTACCTGACGGCCCCCATCTGTAATGTAAATCAGGGGCTGGAGGAACCACAGATTGACCACTAGGCTACTCAACGGTCATATATATCATGATAGCTCGAAGTAAGGAAGTGCCACAGTGGTGCATGCCGTAGATATTTACCAATAAGGTGAAACTCATAATCTGAGCTTATCATTGATTTAAGATCATGACTAGCAGATCCTTGTGCGAGCAAGGGACTCAATTCTCTACACGATAATCCCGTGAAGATTTTGGGTTACAAATGGTCTTCAGCAACCCATGCTTGTCAAAAGAGGCAACTAACAGGATTGGGTGGTCAGGCTCATTGACATGTTATCGTATCCCAATTGCGTGGATCGATGCTCCACAACTTAGCACAACTTAGTCAGCCAGCAACCATGAAATGTGTTTGCTTATTGTAAGTCATTGACCCATGACACTTGTTTCCAGTGAGTCAATCCATAAACTTTAACATAGTGCCAAGACACTTGAGCTCTCCTGGATATGTCAACAAAGACAGACACTTACAAAGTAGCTGTCACCCTTGATATTCAAATATTTTCTGCATAAATAATGAGGACTAATAATTAATACTAAAATCTAATGATTTGAACTATATATGACGTCATCAAAAGGAGAAACATACTAGCCAAAGTTCAGCTCCCTCAGTCACTGATGTAATATTTACTATACAGTGTTCTGTATTGCCACAATCTCATAAAAGATCAGATCTTTTACTCCGATACAGTAACTGTCTGAATGAAGATCTGGCATGCGCTCCATAGGAGGCCGACTCAGGTGAACTTCAGCTAGTGTTGAGGCTTCGATATTCTAGGTACAAGTCAGCAAAGCATTCAGAGCAGCATATCTGACCTTATCTCAAAAACGAATGTTAACAGGCAGTTCTGAATGGAAAAAAATAAAACCATGCTATCAAGTGAATATTTCAGTTTTGTGGTTTTCCCATCCAGGTGGCAAAGAAATCAATCTGAATTGTTTTAGAAATTTGACATCTGATTGGTTCAAGAACCTATGCATACTTCATTTAGATTGGTCGGAGAAAGTACACTCATTGTTCACCAGATTAGACCTCCCACGGAGGTGTTGTGAGATCATCACGCAGAGAGGCACCGTATTGGAGTAAAACCTTGAAACCTTATACCACCCACATCATTTTCAATCCGTTCAGTTTCCTTTTTCGCATCCTCTGTTGACACAGCATTGTTCAGGGTCTTAAGTTCTGAAAAAAAACCATAAATTACAATTGGTTCTGATTAAGAATATTGCTAAGTACATGTATCATGCACCTGATTTGAAAACCATGTCATTTGTAAGGCTGTGTATTGACAAAAAATTTGTACTGCAATATATGGCAATATATGGCAATATACGGCGATACAGGCTCTTACGACACATATTGCTATATATTGTGAGATAACGATTGAAAGAAATTAACACTGATTGTACATGCAGACCCTATTTAAGTAAATACAACAAAGTTTTCTTCTAGTAGATTATCAATAACAACTTCCGTGTTTCCACCGTTTTGTCAATCAGTTTTGAAAGGAAACATCTTTTGTGAAGGAATGTCTGTGTAGATTTTAGGATAAACAAGACAAATAATAACAAAACATGTTATAATATTTATACCTAATACATTGGATCATGGGAAAAATGTTGCAATATGTATCATTTTAAAAGAGTACTGCAGTCCTAGTCATTTGGCAAAAAGTTTATAGTGCATTTGATTAATATAATCAGAAAAACATCGACATCTCATGGATTCAGTTGTCATGGTTATCAAGGAATCATATGATGTCACATCATTCCAGAGTGATGTCATTCATGTCTTATTGATGTTAAAGTGCACATTAAAAGAGTGTGCTACCCAAACTACCAATATTTTGAATTTACAATGTTTATAAGCAATATGTGTTTTCAGACTTGGTGGTGTAATTGAGTATTAGGTGCATGGTCATTTAAAATGTGAACATTTCCAAATTTCAAAAAACATATTTTCTAGTATAGTGTGCACTTATTTTCAGAAAATGAAGCAGCACAGAGGGGAATTATACACACCACCATAAGATTTCAGGTATTTTTCCCCCCTGGGTAAACAAAATATCCAGTATGCATACCGGAAATCAAGTGTCAACGAACGGAATAAACTACCGATACATTTGTCTATACTATTTTTTTTATTTATATTAACATTCTTAGAACATTGAATACTATTACATGAATTGTTTCATATGTATATTTACTTGTATGGTATTAATATAGGCTATGAAGTCATTCAAACATGTCATTTTAGGTACTCAATTACAGCAGAAACTGAAGTGCATCATGTGAAACATCCCGATGAAGAGGGTACCTGACTCCAGCCTGCGGACTTTATCCTGGACGTGTTGGACTGACTCGGTTAACTCAACTATCTTCGCATCCATACTCTTCAACTCTGCATCATCGACATCAGGGAAGCTACTCTGGAATGGGTACAACTCGATGTGAATAACTACTGTTCATAAAACTGTTCATAAAACCCTCAGTAAACCTCTAGACAATCAGGGGCGGTCGGGTAGCCCTTGTGGTTAAAGCGTTTGCTCATCACGCCGAAAAACCAGGTTCCATTCCCAACATGGATAATGTGTGAAGGCCATTTCTGGTGTCCCCCGCCGTGATATTGCTGGAACATTGCTAAAAGCAATGTAAAACCATATTCACTCCCTCACTCCAGACAATGGTTTATGTAAACATTGTAATTTTAAAACACTGAATGTCACTTTTAAGTCATGTGCCCATTTTATTCGGACTTAAGATATGATCTGGTTTACATAAAGTGCCCAGTTTGAACCAGCTTATCTCTCTATGCAGCCTCTAGATTAACGTTCCTATGTTATGGATAACAATCTATCTTCACAATTTTTTGCCACAACACTTTGCAAAATATATGAACATAAACTTCTGTAACAGGCTCACTTCACCCATCTCAAAGCTACCCCACTAAATGTACAGTCATCTTATTTTAAATGTTTTTTGTTTGAATATCTTATATGTATATTATAAGGGGCTATTGTGTCTCATAATCTTTTACCGGCTGGACTTTGCATTTTTACATATATGTATGATAATTATATTAAATTTATATCCAAACTTGTTTTTGTGCAAATTGTGACACATTAAAAAAATAATTTTCTTCATCTTCTCCTTTTCTGTCCAAAATCCTACAGGACAGAATTAGTGAGTGAGTGAGTGAGTTGGGATTAACGCAGCTTTTAACAATATTCTAGTTATATCATGGCGTGTCAGCTTAATGTGGGAGGAAAGCCCGAAGTGATGCAGGTCTCAGATGTTTACCACTTCAGTGAAACCATAGAAACATAACCCACAATTATAGGTTTCTGGCATGGCCAAGGGACACAACTCTGCACAGCAAATCGTGGCGATTCGTGACAACTGGGCCACCTGTGTCCCCACAGGACAGAACTAAAAACACAAACAATCACTGCACATAAATTGATGTCCTGGGTTAAGGGGACTCATTAACCCACCCACCCACCAGACACCCCACCCACCCACCAGGCACCCCACCCACCCAACCAGGCACCCCACCCACCCATCAGGCACCCCACCCACCCACCAGGTACCCCACCCACCCATCAGGCACCCCACCCACCCATCAGGCACCCCACCCACCCACCCAATCAGGCACCCCACCAGGCACCCCACCCACCCATCAGGCACCCAACCAGGCACCCCACCCACCCATCAGGCACCCCACCCACCCATCAGGCACCCCACCCACCCATCAGGCACCCCACCCACCCATCAGGCACCCCACCCACCCATCAGGCACCCCACCTACCCAACCAGGCACCCCACAAGGCACCCCACCCACCCAACCAGGCACCCCACCCACCCACCAGGCACCCCACCAGGCACCCCACCAGGCACCCCACCCACTCACCAGGCACCCCACCTACTGAACCAGGCACCCAACCAGGCACCCAACCAGGCACCCAACCAGGCACCCCACTCTACCCTATCCTACCTCTGTGAGGATTGTAAAACAGGACATATCTCCAGCATCACATGCTTGTTGTATGACACACAGGAACTCAATGACAGCGTGTATAGCATAATATATTTGTAAAGAAAAAAAATCACACCCCTCTATACCAATAGACAAGGAGTGACACCCGCCATCTTGGTCCTTGAATATATTATGCTACACACGCTATCATTGAGTTCCTAATGTGAATAGTACCTAATGTGAATCGGGTGGTCAAAATAGAGACAATGTATGACTTGGCTGATAGAGTCATTGACACAGTTCATACCCCAACTGCACAGGATATTGCAAAGGATTTTCTTACCAAGACTCAATCAATTAGAGGTTGCTAGACCTATTATTTGTTTCTTGTTTAACGCTGCACTCAGCAATATTCCAGCTATGTGACAGCAGTCTGTAATTAATCAAGTTTAATCAAGTGATCGACATCATGAGCATCGATCCACGTAATTGGGATGCAATGACATGCATCAACGAAGTCAGTGAGTCTGACTACCCAATCCTGTTAGTCGCCTCTTGCAAGCATAGCTGGCTTTTAAAGCAAGCATGGGTTGCTGAAGACCTATTCTATCCCGGATCTTCACGGGGCATGATAAGTAAAAAATCTGTTAGTTTAAACAACTTGGATTTACCTCCAACATTTCAAAACATTATACCATAGATCATGCATTCAATTTGTTCAATATACATGTATGTCATTAAAATACCAGAAATATTTTGTGACTTACAAGTCCCTTAGCTTCAAGTGTTGTCATAGTAGTGTGTTGCCATTGTGAGTAGTGTTAGAGTAAATAGTATCAGCTTGCACGATGGATGACGGAGTTAACATCTCTGACCACATGCATTGCCGCCATAATAGATCAATAAACCTGTGATTGTATAACCGAGGTCTTCATGGTTAAAGATCATTACGGAGATAGCTCCAGAGCTCCAGATAACTTTTTGAGCAATTGAGTTTTTTCTCGAAGGTTTCTAACTTAATTGGGTTTTTACATTTTTCATTGGGTAACCAATATTTTTTCACTCATCTTTTCATCACTCTTTGGGGGTTTTCCCAAACTGAGTACACATTTTGGGATTTCAAAAAATATTAAATAATGTTTTAGATGTATATAATGGTTCTAAATATAGGCTTGATTCAGAAAGTAAATTAGCTCGTAATTGTGTTTCGGAAATAAGTTCCGTTGTACGCATGCTGAAAAAGCTTCATTGGATATTTACGCGTGCTGTTTTTATAATTTGAGTTTTCCATTTAATACATGCGTTTCTGTACGCAAGTTAATCGAATGTACTTGGGTTTTGAATATTTTGGGGGGTATTTGACGCATATACGTAGCTTATCTGTAGCTCTGTAGCTCTCAATATGAGAACGACATGGAGGAACACAACTGTCATGAATCAATAACTTTGAGATGTTAGAGAGCGTAAAAACTATTTTTCACCTGAATAATGATCATGAGACTTACAAAGAAGACATTACTTTACCTGATCTGCCACATATACTTTCTGTTTGCCATAAGACTTTTCTCGAATCTTGCCATCAGCAGCCAAACTTTCACAAGTTTTTGTGATAGACTGAAACAACGCAGAATTACTACAATCAATACAGTAGCATCCTTGATTATACAAGGTATCATATTTTTCAGGCCTCAAAGGCTACCTCTGAATTTTAGACAGTAGACCAAGTGAAATTTAGGTCACATTGGCAACCCTTTTAGTCGCAACTATGAGGCCTGTTTTCATTCTTTCATGATAAATAGATTGTTCTAGATCATAACTTTATTTCAGAAGTGACCTCACAGTCAATGCCAAAACCTTTTGTGTCTATCATACCCGTCTCGACAGCATTTTCAGTAGATCTTAGCGTGTATATAAGGACTTTTCAAGATAGTCCGAAATAACTTTTAAGTTATGGTTATAAAAGAAAGGGTGACTCAAAAGGTTGTTGCAAGAGGAATTGTGTGTCTATCTCTACTTACAGTTTTGCCGTATTCTTTTCCCATGTTGTTCAGAAGGTCAGTTACACTGTAGGGTCTGTTTTGACGGTTGAGATAGTCAACCACAGCTTTTGTTGCTGAAAGAAATATGAGGAGAAATTATAAGTTGTAGCAGGATCAGGAGGGGTACATGGGGTTTTATGTGTCCCTTGTTTGGTTTTATACCATGAGCCGGGTCAGATCTCGTCACTCTGACATGGAGGTATGATAATAGGCACATAAATCGTATTGCAATATATCGCAGTACGGAAGACTGTATTGCAATACATATTGAATACGTGTTGAGGCCCCAATTATAATTGTCACGTGATATGCCAAAGCTGAGGCATGGGATACCCAACTGTGGATGCCTGTGTCTATAATAAAAACACAGGATGAGGGTGAGTTAAATGGCCGAGAGTGTGCAGGTGCTTGTGGGCTACTAAGCTGCTAGTTGAGTACCTGAAACAAGCTACTATTGCCAATGGCGATTAGCAGCTACCCCTGCCCAGCCCTGGTAGCATATTTACTAATAAGAAACATCACCGTTGCTTAGCAACTACCGCTGCCTGGCCCAATTAAAAAAGAATTGTGACGGCTACCGTTCCAGCCCAAATCTCAACTTCCACTGACATGATGCCTACCGCATGGGCGTGGCAATTGGTTGCCCAACGTAAGCTATTTTACGATTCCACAGCGGAAAAGACAAGGTTCCCACTGTGAAGAAGGTAACCCCAGGAAGGTTCCAACAGAAAAACAGGTAGCCTAAACACGAGTAGTGATTTGGAAGCAAGTTAATTAGTTACAAGCAGGGTAGCCCACAAGAACCAGGATTGGAGCGAAATAGATCCTATACAATGAGCTATTGATGAAAGTGATGGTATTTGAAGCGTATATCAGCAAAACGAACGTGATTGTGAACAAAGCAAAACGAACAAAGACAAAGTGATTAGATACAGTGAAACATGTGTCCTTGAAGAGAGCCTGAGCACGAATGGCCCACTATAGACAATGGAACAAAGGAGGGCACAAGCGTGCCCCCATAAAATGCCTGAAGATAGTAGATATAATTTATATAATTATATATTAATCCTATTGTGACTGTAACGGAAAATATTGCTACATAAGGGTTGTATTTCGTTACGTGTATACCAGTCAAATCCCACATCCTAATAGTGCTGAGTATTTGGATGCCAAAAGTCGAATCAATGTTACCAATGAATTAAGCATACATAATGCTACATAAATCGTTTTTTATCTTTATTATATATATAAGATGCCATTTTTGCCTGACCTTCGGAAATCGGGGACGTTTTAGTCTGCACCCGACTTAGCCGAGAGCCACGATGGGGTCCTACATTCAAGACATCGCTCTTATGCTTTCGGCACACTGAACAAGCTAGTCATGTTGTTTACAGTTACCAGAGACATCTTGACCAGATATTTGCATTAAAATAACCATAGATAATTAGAGACACAAAATTCAAATAAAACTGATTAAGAGCAGAGACTTTCATATTTCCTGCAGCCTTGCAGGGAAAGCATATATTTCACATTTCGGCAGATATTTGCATTGAAAAAAAAATAGATAATTAGAGACACAAAATTCAAATAAAACTGATTAAGAGCAGATTTTCATATTTCCTGCAGCCTTGCAGGGAAAGCATATATTTCACATTTCGGCATATTCTGCTGTGCCACTGACAGTGCTTCCGTCTCCACTCGGAAGAATTACACTTCAAGTTCCTTGTCGATCCACAAAACATACCATGGAACGAAGCCTACGTTTACAGAAATATATGAACTGACACTGACATCTACCCTTACCTGCAGCATCTTTATTTTTACTCATGTCGTTCAGTGTGGTGTTTACATTTATTTCATAAATGGCGGGTGTTCACTCGAAGGGAGATAACTCTATTGTTTGCTTTCTGACAGGTGGATGAATATATTATCGTAACCCAAACGAGTTCGTATCCCTAGAAATTTCATAACAATACAAATTTTAAAAACTTCGTAACCCTATCTAATATTTCTAACCATTCGTTTAGTATAGTTTATTTTATCACCACGCAATCATTGCATCCATATTCATGACATCAACAATTCATTTACTCAAACATTCACATTCAAATTATCAGCAACACACAATCAACATAAACATGTTTTATTTGCATATGTAAGACAGCTACGGTAATTTCATACATGACTGAAGAAATGAACGCGTCAACCAGTTGCGAGCGCATGTTCGAATCTCCAGAAATAACTTCATGACAGAACAATGTTTTAACGCAGAGACCATATACCGGTATATGGTAAATAAACCACATATCGTTCTTCGTTGTTCTTTGCGATTTATCGCGCTGCTATCTAATATTGGTTAACAGATCTAATTCTAAATTGTTTCTCCAGACCTCTCCCCATTAGAATATGTCTTGGATAAGATATATCGACGCCTGCAACAGGGCCAGAACCAGGGTGTAACGCTAGTTCTGTTGTGCCATTTTTATTTGGGTTGACATTTGGAACAACATTCCACGGGTTGTTTTAAATGGAAACAACACTCTAAGTTTGATGGTAAAGCAATATCCTCGGCTTTATCCTCGCGGATTCAAAATATGTTTATTATGGACTATAATTTGGACTGGTTCGACTTGTGTTCGTCGCTATTCCCGCTGCGATGCGCGAAGCGACACCTTTCGGAGTATCGGTGAATGAGAAGCCGTATATCATAACAAAGATATACAATAAAGAGTGAATGAGTATGGTTTAACGCCGCTTTTAGCAATATTCGTGCAATATCACGGCGGGGGACACCAGAAATGGGCTTCACACATTGTACCCATGTCGGGATTCGAACCCGGGTCTTCGGCGTGACGAGCGAACGCTTTAACCACTAGGCTACCCGCCCACCCCTGCAATAGAGCGATACAGCCAAACTGACATGTGTTTTTTGTCGTTGATAAATGTATGTACGACTTGAAAGGGTGAAGCTATCCGTTAACATCATATTATGTACAATAAAAAACTACATGGTATAATTCAGGTAAACGAACAGGTGATAAAAAACTTGGTCAACAAAAATGTGATATTTGATATAAGTTATGACTAAACATGATGATTTACCATTTAAATCGTAATTTCTGTTCTGCAAGGCATTGTTTTATATGCAGAAATAATTATTTCCGTGTGTACTTTCTAGTACACTAAGCCAGAAGTGGCAGTCATCTGTACTCACATTTTCAAGCAATCTACCGGTGATTCGGTTACAAAATACCCAATAAATATAACTTCAAAGATTTTTGGAGCAGTGTTCGGGTGAATTGTATCTGAAACTATTATTTTATCAGAAATAATATATTCTAATATAGAGTTATTTTAGTTTCAACTTTTGCTACATATTAAATAATAATAACCATGAACAACTTATTTCAATTGCCGGATATGTTTTACGTATGGAACAATTTGATAAGTCACCGTTAAGGCCGTTCGCGTTCTTGCTGTAGCAAATGAATGAGAACAAAATGCAATATCGCAATGACAACCAACAAAAGTTCAATGAAAATATCAGGCAGTGATCTTGTCCGAGGAATGTTTCCGTCAATATCCACATAAAGGACCAATATCCCATATAGCTGAAGCTGTAGAAAGAAACATGTTAGATGTCACGTTGTCTTTGGAAGACATTTGGAAGTTCGAGTACTAGAGTAAGGATAATATATATGGATTAACAACTTCTTTGTTACAATTAGGGGCGACTTTTAACAGTGTTAGAACCTACACCGAATGGATTGTTCATCCATATATCTTATCCTTATTTAGGGATAATTTCATTCGATTCGCGTCATCGAAGGATGTAGAAACCGTAATGTTATTCCGCATTGTTCTTTTGATTTCAATTTCGACCATATTTATTTACATTTTACCTCTAAGATGTATCTATACGTATTTTCGATAAAATAATTTCTATATTCAACGGAACACATTCGCATTATTAATTTCTAAACCATATATTTAAAGCTTACTCACGTTGGTCATTTATAACCGTCAATTAATAGTTATTCCCCATTTTTCACATATTCATATTTTTATTTACTTGTTCATTTATCATGTTCTTTAATAACATTAAATCTTTGACTTGGGTCAGGAATTAAGCGGTAGCTATTTCATAAATTTCATAGCTATTACCACGGACTTATATAGGTCACTGCTACTACTTAACATATTTTCCAAATTAACGCATGCTAGCTGGGTTCGATCCTAGATGGCAGAATTATTACTTGAAAATGTCAGTTTGGTAGCAATCAATGCAGAGTTACGTACCCTTGGAAAAACTGTACCTTCAGGCGGAACGAAATGTAATCCAAATTAAGACATACAATGATTTATAGCATTATTCTATACTAGTTAAGATATAATTATCACAGTACATAACATTGTGTGACAACGTTTGAGGACCGACGATGAACCTGTGAGCAATAAATAATTATTATGTATGTATTTCGTATGTGTGTTGCATATGCTAATTTTATACGCACCCATAAGCAAGCATGGCGGCGAATGTGACACTTTCAGAATTGCAAATTCCAGAGGAGGGTGTAAATAGCGACAGGGTCCGGATCTATGCCGAGTATAAATCACATCTATCAGTTCTTAATGTGACGTTAGATTTTGGAACCAGGTATGTAGTTTACATTCACATTTTCAGTCATGGTCGAAGAAATATCACTTATTGATATAGGAATTCGCCGTTTTCAATACGAGAAATTTCGATTGGCAAAACTGCAGTTTACCGGTTTAAGCTACATTGCTTATTGGCTCAAGCTGTGCCTCTCCCTTCACAGATCTCGCATGCCTCTTAAATCCTTACGGTTAGGATAGTTTTTCCTCCAACTCGAATGAGTTTATCTAATTAGCCAACAACTTACCACTTTATCTACTGAGGTGAGGTGGGGTTTAACGTCGCGTTCAAGATTATTGCACTTATATATCGACGTGCGTCCCATTTTGGGAGCAGTGCAGTTTACCGGGCCCGTAATTCACCTGTAGGTATATGGCGAAGCTGCACACAGTAAACTACATTGTTGCCCCAAATTTATGGTGCTAGCCCACTGAGATACCATGATGAACCCAGGACCTTCCGTTTTCCGGGTGGACACTCTATCACGAGACCACAGAGGCAGTCTCATCCAATGAGGATCCAAAGGCTAGGGATAGAGTTGGGGGTAACCTACCCTAACCCTAACAAACTACCCAAGGATTGAACATGCCTGTGAGATCAGTGAAGCAAGAGCTGCACCCAGAGTCAGTTAGCGCTATAAACCACGCCTGGTATCCTGCAGTCTTGTGGTTGGTTGTGAATTAGGGCCAATAGTTTTCTATCCTACCACTTTTATTGAATTCAATGTAATCCCAAGAAAATCATTTTGGTGCTTGCCAGTTGATATAGGTAATTAATTTTGACGCTTTTCGCAGTAAGAATTTTGATGTCAGTGTGGTAGGAAAAGCCCAATGCATTGTTTTCCATTTCAGGTGTCACAAGCACATCTCAGTTTCTACAGACCAGACTACTGTTACTGCTGAACTTAACATTGGACAGTGTATGTTCCATTTAGAGAATGTAGAGTTGCTTCCCCTGTCATGTAGAGGTTTGCAATGGCAGCCATATGGAGAGCTTCAGATGACTCTGCAGGTAAAAGATGAGAAGCAACGTTTAGACTGCGAAGATCAGTTTGGGATTGCATGTAGAAAACAGGAGGATGTTTGCGCCAACATTCAGACACATCAAAACAAATGTTTTTGTGCTTGCTGTGGCAAAAAAATACTCAAAGATCACAGGTGAGCAACATTTTAAATCTTGTACTGTTCATGTTGAATTCCTTCAATTTACATGATACCTGTAATATTTTGGATTCTATTCCCTAAAAACAACACATGGGCTTCTGTTGAGAATTTGTCCCAAGTAACCTTTGCTTGTATGAGATTACTTAAATGGATTGAATGTTGGTGATGAATTCCATTATATTTTTCTTTGTCCTTTTTTAAAACACCAACAGAAAATATAGGTTCCAATTTCATATGCTAAAAACCAAATGTGTTTAAATTTGAAGAACTTTATGATTGTAAAGATAATAAGTGTTATCAAAAGACTCTGCACATTCGGTTACGTCTTTATGAAAACTGTAAAATCTTCCATGTAAACCACCCCGCCATCTTATGTACATACTGTTTGTAAATCCATATCTCATATGCCAAGTATCCCGGCCAGAGTGTAAATAAAGTTTTGTTCTGTTCTGATCATGTTGGTTGCTTGTGTGTCACTGTATACCAGTGTCATGGAATGTTGCTCATAATATCAATCACAGGTCTCCAGTTTTGATTATTAAGTAATATTAACAGACCTGGATTTACCTGGAATATTGCTGACTGTAGCTTTTAAAAGCAAACAAATCTTTAGGAAAGAATGTTCCTTTTGATTCACATCTCATGCAAAAAGAATTAGTGTTCTAACATGTCTAAGTTAATCGGTGTTAAATAGGTTTGATACTGACAGGGCCAACCTGATTTACTGCTACATGCCAGTGCCTCACAAATGAATACCTGACATGATTCACGTCAATAGATAGGGCTAATGGTGAACTGGTGCCTTTTGATAGTTTTGAATTTTTTAAGATTTATTTTAAACTTAGACTGACTTAGACTGAAAATCGCCGAAGTGCTCCTTTCCGGAGCAGATCTTGAAAAACATGGCACATAGATAGGTCTAGTGGTAAACTTGTGCCTTTGGATAGTTTGGGATTCTTTAAAAATTTATTTATCAAGTTTCCATAGCAACGACTTTGACTTAGGCTGAAAGTGGCGGTTGTGCTTGTTTCCGGAGCAGATCTTGAAAACCTTATGATATTTCTTGCCTTGCACAAGAGTTCGAATCCCGACATGGGTACAATGTGTGAAGCCCATTTCTGGTGTCCCCCCGCCGTGATATTGCTTGAATATTGCCAAAAGCGGCGTAAAACCTCACTCACTCACTCACTCACTCACTCACTCTTGCCTTGCACACAACCGGACTTGTCATATTGGTGGGAAATATGAGTATTTCATGCTTGTTCTGTGTCGATTTACACAATGAAATGTTTAGAAAGTATTTTTAATAACCCAGCCTGATAACAACTTAGGATTAATTAGCATTGATTAGTTTAATGACTGATTTCAGTGTCTTCTCACGGGTTTTGCCACTTCCTTCTGAAAACTGGTCAGATGTAGCTGAATTCTGGTTTTGTCATCGCCATGGTGATGAAGAAGATCACACTCCAACAGTGGCTCCCAAACCTGGAGATTGTTTAGTGGGCAGTCTTCATGTTCTCTTATCTCAGTCCCACATGAAGATGAACTCTGTGACTTGCAGTGACAACAGTGAACTGATCAGATGCAGCCGATGTGGAAATGTACTCGGAATCACTCTGGATGATGATGATGTTAAACCACAAAAAAATGGTATTAATCGTCTTCTTTCTTAAACATTGGATGCTTGTTTGTGGCAGATAAGAGATTGGTGTTTAGTCACATTTTTTGTGCTACTTTTCAGCATGCCACTTTGTTTTAGAAGTTATTTACAAAGACATCTCTAACAAATGTTATATTTGGGATAACACTTTGTTTGTAAAGTACAGATTCTCGTGGGTTTTTTTTACCTTTTTTTTGTATATATTTAAAAAAAAAATTAATTGCCAGCACACAAAGTCAGCGATCTAACCCACTCAGCCTCCGAGGCTTCTAAAAAAATGAAAGTCTGACAACTGGTAGTCTAGATCGCGTACTTTGTGTACCCTGTTGTTTGAATGATTGTGCCACATAACTGTCTGAGAGAACCCTGACGTAGAAGGTAGGCATTGAAATCTATGATAATAATAATGTGGAATGTTATAAGATTTGATGAATGGTTAATCATGTAACTTCTACGATTACATTTCAATTACATTTTATTCCACACTAATGAACAACCTTGCATCAGTACATTGTTACAGATCAGTAATCTACTCTACCATGAATTAGGAAAATATTTGATTCAGTCGGAGGTTTCAAATCACAGTAAACTACCTCTGATTGAAACAGCTGTTTTCATGACCACATCACTGCAAAATCTAATATCAAAAGAAAAGAAATTCTTTCTCAATCATTGTCAGTAGACAAGTGAAATAATGCTGTTCAGTAATGTACAATTATGGGTTTTGGGTTCTGCAATATAATATTCCAAGTATGTGTGGCATTAGAGACCATGTATTTCAAGTTTTGGGGACAAGAGTGAGCTTGAAAGTTCCCGTCCTTCTCTATTTCTATTTTGGTTCAAGATTCATTTCAGCATTGTTAAACTACACTGAAAACAGTGTTTATCACCTAATTGTTTTTGATCATTGTAACATCACTCATTATTGCCTCGTCACAAATAGCTGTAAGATTGCTGATGCAGCGTTTATCAATAATCACTCGCTCACTAATTATTGCAGTAAGTATGTTATAATGGTTATGAGGTTGGTGACACTTTGTCCAGGGTTGACCCGTGCGAGCAGTGATCCCAAGAAGGCCACGCCCCTCTGTCACCTGTATCTCCATGCTGTAGCATTCCAGGACCAGCCTGCTGATGGTCTAACCCCATCTGTGTGAGTAAAAGTTTCTCCAGTACAATGTGCTTGTCTCTGTAGAAGATGGGGCAACTCTTTGTTATATTATCCCTCTTTGTGCTTTTGGTGCAATGCCTCTAGTGTTCCTCTTTCACCTGTTTCTGTGTTTTAGGTGGTGTGCCTCTTGTGTCGAAGTGTTCCTCTTTCACCTGTGAGGGGGCACGGGTGGCCCAGTCGTCTAAGGCGCCGCGATTCGCTGTGCAGAGTTGCATCCCTTGGGCACGCCAGAAACCTATGATTGTGGGTTTGAATCCCGGTTCGCCCCGATTATGTATCTAGGTTTGTCAGCACCATACCCGTGCTCGTGGGTTTCACCAAAGTGGTAAACATCTGAGACTTGCATCACTTCGGGCTTTCCTCCCACATTAAGCTGACACGCCGTGATATAACTGGAATACTGTTAAAAGCGGCGTTAAACCCAACTCACTCACTCACTTGCACCTGTGTTTGTGTTTTAGGTGGAGTGCCTCTTCTGTCAAAGTGTTCCTCTTTCACTTGTGTTTGTGTTTTAGGTGGAGTGCCTCTTGTGTCGAAGTGTTCCTCTTTCAACTGTGTTTGTGTTTTAGGTGGAGTGCCTCTTGTGTCGAAGTGTTCCTCTTTCAACTGTGTCTGTGTTCTAGGTGGAGTGCCTCTTGTGTCGAAGTGTTCCTCTTTCACCAGTGTTTGTGTTCTAGGTGGAGTGCCTCTAGTGTCGAAGTGTTCCTGTGTCAGTTGTTGCTGGAACAGAGTCGCCTCTACACCAGCTACCGATTCCTCCTCCAGTCGAATCATGTGAAACAGGAGAACACTGTTAAAGTCCTCGTATGTACACCATCTAGTTTGCGCAAACTGAAGTAAATTTTCCTGCTCCTGCCAAAAAACTAAGTTTAAAAAGCTTAAACTAGATAGTCCTCCCACCTATTATATCTTCTCAGCCATGAAACTATCAACAGGAACAAGATAGACACCTTTCACACTGAAACATTTAAAAGGCATAGAACGAGACACTGCTGCAGCAAGCAATCGGCATAATTATTTGGACTACAACTGGAACTGTTTTGGAGTGTTGGCCATTTCTTTTGTTGTCAAAGCTGTATGTTATCACTGTAAAATTTAATATGTTTGGTTGCAGTTATGGCTGATCGATCAGGACCTAACTCTCTACATGGGAGAAGGTCACTTGACCCAACCCTCACACAATGTCAAGGTCACTGGCAGCAGGGTGGCCAAGGTGCTCTATCGGTCAACTGTTGGAAAAACGGACAGGTAAATTATTATGTTAAATTCTGTTATGAATGAGAGACTTAAAGACAAAAAACCATTGGAGACAATAACCTATTGGTAAGGAGCGACTGCATGGATCGGGTGGTTCATTGCATGTTGTCGTGCTAATAATATTAATCGCTGGTTTGTCTGGTCCAAACTTGATTATTTACAGACTTTCATGTTATAGCTGTAATTGTGCTGACTACAAGCAAACAAGCCCCGTGAAGATCCGTGGTAGAATAGGTCTTCAGCAACCCATGCTTGCCGTAAAAGGCGGCTAACGGGTTCAGGTGGTCAGGCTCGCTGACTTGGTTGATGCATGTCATCAATCCCAATTGCGTGGATCGATGCTCATGATGTTAATCACTGGATTGTCTGGTCCAGAGTCGATTATTTGTACAGACCTCCGTCATATAGGTGGAATATTGGTGAGTGCGGCGTTAAACAAACAAACAAACAAACAAAGCTATCCTTGTTTCAGTTCAGCTTCAAGTCGCTGTGACACGTTCCTGTACCAGACATGGGAGAAGGATAACACTGTTCACGGCCTGATGCTGCCACGCCCACTCATTCTACAGCTGGTGTCCCTGCTCGTCAGCAACACATCCCTCCTGCCCCCCTCACACAGACATCTCAACGGCTTCCATGTAAGGGAGTTCAATATCTGACTAGAAACCTCACTTTGTGACCCTCATCACCTCAACAATTAAATTACCATCCTCAAATAGATTTTCAAAAGGAAAAAACACAGATAGGGATTTAGCAATTTGTCCGACAGACTTTTGAACAAGACAGTTTCCATCACTCAGATCATTAATGTCACATCTTCAGTCCATGGTACATATTGTTGAGTGAACAAATGGTTGTGATATTGTTTGTGCTGATGTATTACATCCCTTTGAAAGTCTCACACCCACTCATCTCCCCACTCACCCACCCACTCATCTCCCCACTCTTACACCACCCACCCAGCCACCCACCCACTCTCACACCCACTCATCTCCCCACTCACCCACCCACTCTCACATCCACCCAGCCACCCACCCACTCTCACACCCACTAACTCCCCACTCTCACACCACCCACCCAGCCACCCACCCACTCTCACACCCACTAACTCCCCACTCTCACACCACCCACCCAGCCACCCACCCACTCTCACACCCACTAACTCCCCACTCTCACACCACCCACCCACCCAGCCACCCACCCACTCTCACACCCACTAACTCCCCCACTAACTCCCCCACTTACTCACCCACTAAATCACCCACCCACTCTCACCCACCCACTCTCACAACCACTAACTCCCCCACTAACTCACCCACTTACTCACCCACTAAATCACCCACCCACTCTCACCAACCCACTCTCACACCCACTCACACACCCACTCTCACACCCACTAACTCCCCCACTAACTCCCCCACTTACTCACCCACTAAATCACCCACCCACTCTCACCAACCCACTCTCACACCCACTCACACACCCACTCTCACACCCACTAACTCCCCCACTAACTCCCCCACTTACTCACCCACTAAATCACCCACCCACTCTCACCCATCCACTCTTACACCCACTCTCACACCCACTCTCACACCCACTCTCACACCCACTCTCACACCCACTAACTCCCCCACTAACTCCCCCACTTACTCACCCACTAAATCACCCACCCACTCTCACACCACCCACCCAGCCACCCACCCACTCTCACACCCACTAACTCCCCACTCTCACACCACCCACCCAGCCACCCACCCACTCTCACACCCACTAACTCCCCCACTAACTCCCCCACTTACTCACCCACTAAATCACCCACCCACTCTCACCCACCCACTCTCACAACCACTAACTCCCCCACTAACTCCCCCACTTACTCACCCACTAAATCACCCACCCACTCTCACACCCACTCACACACCCACTCTCACACCCACTAACTCCCCCACTAACTCCCCCACTTACTCACCAACTAAATCACCCACCCACTCTCACCAACCCACTCTCACACCCACTCACACACCCACTCTCACACCCACTCACCCACCCACTCTCACACCCACTCACCCACCCACTCTCACACCAACCCACTCTCACATCCGACCACTCTCACACCCACTCTCTCCCATCCACTTACCCACCCACTCTCTCATCCACTCACCCACCCACTCTCACACCCACCCTCACACCCACCCACCCACTCACCCACCCATTCTCCCACCCATCCACTCAACCACCCACCCACTCACTCTCTCACCCAACCTCAACCACCCACTCACCCACTCTCACACCCACCCATCCATTCTCCCACTCATCCTCTCACTTATCCACTCTCCCACCTGCTCACCAATCTGCTCACCCACCCACCCACCCACTCTCACATCCACCCACTCACTCTCACACCCACCCACTCTCACATCCACCCACTCTCACATCCACCCACTCTCAAACCCAACCATTCTCCCACTCACCCATCCACTCACCAGCCCACTCTTGCACTCTCTCACACTCACCCACCCACTCATTCAACCAAAAACACACAAAACAGAGTTTTCTTACTTACAAATGTCAGTTATGATAAAAATCACCAAAGACATTATTGTTTAGTGATTCACGTTGTCACTTTTTTTCAGGTGAGTTTCCTTATGAAGGATCGAGTAGAAGAAAAACAACTACCCAAGAAGACGTAGGGACCAGCACTGACCTGTGCCATACTGCCTGTGCTGATAATTGTTTCCAGATCTATACACAAATATATATGTATATGTTTACCAATCTGTTTACACCCAATCTGGGCAACTGCGCATTCCATGCATTGAGCAAACAGCCTGCCCAATGCACACAATGGGCAGCTGCACAGATTGGGTGTAACATAAACATATATATTTGTATATAGGTCTGGTCAGGCATTTTGCTGTATATATTTAAGAGCATTGTTTTGCATAACATGTTTATCATTTATGCATTTATAAAGCAACTTTTAATTCACTTGTGTGTTTTTATAAATGTTGATTCTAAACCCATTTGGACTGTAGTAATCATAGTTGATGGAAGGTCAGTGAACATGGATTTTTTGTTGCATCAACATTCAGTTTCGTCTTTTAAATTCTTCTCAACAATAGTATGTATGTCAAGTGATAAACTACGGAACTGTATTCATTGACTTTTAGTTCAACATTGGCTCGGAGGGTGGGGTTTCCTAGTGGTTAAAGGGTTTGCTTGTCACGCCGAAGGCCCGGGTACGATTCCCAACATGGGTACAATGTGTGAAGCCCATTCTAGTGTCCCCTTCCGAGATATTGCTGGATTATTGCTAAAAGCGGCGTAAAACAATACTCACTCACTCACTCAACTGTGGCTTGGGTCATAAGTGGCCTAGTCATCTATTATAAGTCGCATCCATAATCCGATGGCCGTGGGTTCAAATCCTAGATTTGCCCTGAAAATGAAACTTGGTTTGTCAACACCATACCTGCCCTGGTGAGTTTATAATGTTGGACCTGCACCATATCCGCTTTCCTCAAATAGTTACCCGTGAAGATCCGGGTTAGAAGTGGGGTCTTCAGCAACCCATGCTTGTTGTGAAAGGCAACTATACTTGTCGTAAGAGGTGACTAATGGGATTGAGTGGTCAGGCTCGCTGACTTGGTTAATGCATGTCATCGTATCCCAATTGCGTCGATCGATGCTCATGATATCAATCAAGGGATTGTGTGGTCTAGACTCAATTATTTACAGACCGCTGTCATATAGTTGGAATATTGCTGAGTGTGGCGTTAAACAACAAACAGAACATTGAAATAGTGCTCAAAGGGGTGTTAAACACAACTCACTCATTCAACTGTGCATCTCCTTTTAGCCTGATGTTTCTGTGAATTCCTCCTTGGTCTAGTGGATAGTGCGTCTGCCCTGAGTGCGGAAGGTTGGGGTTTAATCCCTGGTGGCGTCATACCAATAGACATTAAAAGATGCTACTTGTTTTTAACTTGCCTGGTGTTCGGCATTAAGGGGATAAAACCATGACTGGTCGGCTTGAAGTCAGAACACTGTGTCTGTGTAGGGTATCCATGTTAAACTGTGGCATGGTATCTCACTAGACTAGTGCTATAAAATCAGCATTAGTGCGAACTAGTTCAAACAGCAACACACAGTGCAATAATCTTGAACACCATGTTAATCCAAATTCAGTTCCAAAATTTGCTCCTCCTATGATCCTTGGTCTGTCAGCATCACACCAAAGGTCGTGGATTTCATCCCTCAAGTCCGGTCACTCATAATCACAATCACAATCATAGATCCGGGGTAGAATAGATCTTCAGCAACCCATGCTGAAAAGGCGACTATGCTTGTAGTAAAAGGCGACTAACGGGATCGGGTGGTCAGGCTTGCTGACTTGGTTGATGCATGTCATCGATCCCAATTGCGTGGATCGATGCCCATGATATTAATCACTGGATTGTCTGGTCCAAACTCGATTATTTACAGACCGCCGTCATATAGCTGGAATATTGCTGAGTGCTGCGTTAAACAACAAACCAACCAACCAACCAATCATAATCATAATCACAATCTATGCTGGTCTTAAGAGGTAACCAAATGGATCGTATGAACCGTTGGTCGCAATATCAATCACCAGATTGACTAGATTCTTCACAGGCTGGTGTCATATATTTAAGAGTGCCGCGTTTCACAACAACAAAACCCCATTACTATGTGTTTTGTTTGTTTGTTGTTTAACGCCGCACTCAGCGGTAAGACGGCGTCTGTAAATAATCGAGTCTGGACCAGACAATCCAGTGATTGATAGGAGCATCCATCCAGGCAGTTAGGATACGGTGACATGCATCAACCAAGTAAGCGATCCTGACCACCCGATCCCGTAAGTCGCCTCTTACGACAAGCATATTCTCTTTTTACGGCAAGCATGGGTTGCTGAAGACCTATTCTACCCCGGAATCTTCACGGGTTATTAGTATGTGAGTGTGTAACAAACAAGAAGAAGCCAGAGACTGTTTGGATGGATTTTATTTAATTCAGCAGTAGTAGAATGAGCACCACCACACCAGGTGATCCGACAAGGGTTAGACAACCACCATCACAGAATGGTGGTAACAGTGGGAAAGTCACAACGTATAATTCTGGAAGGTAATTTAAGGTACCGACGTTTACTACAATATCTGAAAAACTATCGGACCTACTCCAGTCAAAGTTGTTATGAGATTATTAAACAGTCATACATAACTGGATATTACATTTAAAGACAATCGGTGCATGAATAAAAAAATCTGTCTATTTAGCTGTACACAGTTGAACCAATAAACTCAACTCGAAAGGTTGCACGGGAATCACGCACGTTGAGACGCCCAACGCTAACACCGTATTCGTGCGTGCGTGATTCCCGTGCAACCTTTCGAGTTGAGTTTATTGGTTCAACTGTGTCATATGGCACTCTGACGCAGGAGTAGCATTATGCAGATGGCTGTTACAATGAATGCTCCTTCCACCCGTGACGAACAGGTCTAGTTGTTGATGAAATATAGTGATAGCTAAATAGACAGATTTTTTATTCATGCACCGATTGTCTTTAAATGTTATATCCAGTTATGTATGACTGTTTAATAATCTCATACCAACTTTGACTGGAGTAAGTCCAATAGTTTTTCAGATATTGTAGTAAACGTCGGTATCTTAAATTACCTTCCACACCATAAACAGCAAGAACAAAATATACCACTAAACGTTTGATGGAGAAAATGAAACATGTCAGATATATTTTAAACACGACATATTTTAGAATAGATTTTGTGTATCATGGAAAGATAAATAATATCCCTGTCAAAAGCCGAGGAGTACAGATTCCGAAAAGGGACGGCAAAAAAGCTCCCAATACAGTAAACGTTATCATAGGCAAGTCTGATAATCTGAAAGGGTACTATAGTCGTGAGTTTTCGTTATACAGCAGGCAACACGGCCGTGGTAACTGGTGCGAAGCATTCGTCGGCACTCGCCCCTTTCCGTAATTCGGCTTGTCCCGGAATAACACGAGTTGGTTACGAATGTGGCGCGAAGCCCACATTGAGAATCGCGGCCAATGGCTGTTTTCCCTGAACCTGAATACCATGGCGTCAGAACCTGTATAGGAAAACAGTTCCGGACCACGTTGAACAAATTGCCAACCTTAATAAGAAACTTCTTTTTCAAAGAATTTTAACACATGGTTATATTTTGACGAGATGGCAAAATCCGAAAGACATTGTTTTTATTTACCTGCAATTAAGAGTTCAACTGTTGATCTCGATTGTCATCACTGAAATGAGTGAGTGAATATGGTTTTACGCCGCTTTTAGCAATATTCCAGCAATATCACGGCGAAGGACACCAGAAATGGGCTTCACACATTGTACCCATGTCGGGAATCGAACCCGGGTCTTCGGCGTGACGAGCGAACGCTTTAACCACTAGGCTACCCGACCGCCCCATCACTGAAATGACTTCATTAGACAAGGATATTGTACATTTCTGCCACTTCACACCTGCCTCAACCTGCCTACGTCACAATGTCATTTTGTTTTATTCATATCCCGGGGTGAAGATTAACCCAGAGAATATCTGATAACAAATATATAATAAATGTTAAAATAACAAGCACACTAACAATATCACAGCAAACAAGTTCAGTATTATGTTATTATTTACAATCATATTTACATGTCATATTTTGGCTATTTGACACCATGTTTAATGGGTTACGGTCACAACGTACTCAGTATAGTCTAAAGTGTGCATGAACTTTTTTCCAATAAGGCTAATTTATATACTGCTGAAAAAGATTGGGATATTCGAGGGATGTGTTCACTGGGCCACGTCGGCAATTTCGGCACAGCTGCACAAAGCCATCTTAGTGCTACGATTATTATAAGTCTGTGTCACAGGAACGGAATCATAAACGGCGCAGTGCTAAGATTGCTTTGCGAAAGGGGGCCTTGTGAATTCAGTGAGTGAGTGAGTATGGTTTTACGCCGCTTTTAGCAATATTTCAGCAATATCACGACGGGGGATACCAGAAATGGGCTCACCCATTGTACCCATGTCGGGAATCGAACCCGGGTCTTCGACGTGACGAGCGAACGCTTTAACCACTAGGCTACCCGACCGCCCCGTGAATTCAGTACTGATGTGACATCAGTATGGTTACAATATTCGAGTGAGGTTTTACGCCGCTTTTAGCACTATTCCAGCAATATCACGACGGGGGGCACCAGAGATGGGCTTCACACATTGTACCCATCTCGGGATTCGAACCAAGGTCTTCGGCGTGACGAGCGAACGCTTTAACCACAAGGCTACCCGACCGCCCCCTACATTATTTGAACCCCGTGTGGATTCCGTGACTACACTACGTTAAACTATATAGCTGATATTAGTAGTTGTTAATATCCATGGACTGTGACAACAGGCATTTACAATATTTTTTAAAAAAACAAAAAAACATTGCCATATGAAATAGTCATGCACAATGTACTACTTAAAAAGAGTTAATGACCAACAGATTGTTTCACATTACTAGCGCCATACCCGTGCTTGTGGGTTTCACCAAAGTAGTAAACATCTGAGACATGCATCACTTCGGGCTTTCCTCCCACATTAGCTGACACGCCGTGATATAACTGGAATACTGTTCAAGCAGCGTTAACCTTTTTTTAGCAGTATTGATAAACTATGGTAGTAGCTATATTATGTCCGCGTCAAAGCGCCTGTACGTCACGATTGTCGACGAGAAAATACGCTGTTCAGTATAATGGCTGCGTCCCTCTTACTCCGCTAACATCACAGTGGCTGGTTTATTTAGTGTTGTCCAACTGTTAGGCTAGATCATACATTATTCCGCTAGGCGCGGTCAATGGCTGAGTTATTTTGTGGTCATTTTAGGATACGCTGCACGACAATATGAGTCAACATCGATTAACGTGAAGCTAGACGGCCATTAATGTAACGAATATGCTCATTGAAATGAATTAAAGGAACCCATCGAGCGATACACAAAGGCTGGAAGATCAAAAGTAACACATGACTTAAATGCGTCACAATGGAATTCCCTTTCTTTACTCGGCACAGATCAACTACTAATGATGTCTGTTTTGAAAAGACCAATGAACAAATAGCATGAAGGTGTAAGACTAGTTAATTAGATTAAGCAGCGGTTGGAACGAACGGTTGATGGCTACCTTTAAGGAACGATCATACATGTATACTATCTTTGCGTAGAGGACAGTTCGGGGCTATATGAGAAGCGTTTCTTCCTTGAAAGTCATGTTTGCTGTTTCCCAAGAACTAACACAGGACCAAAAGCCGGATTGACATTAACGCAAATAGGGTAGGAAAGACATGCAATGACCGGATTTGCGTAACAATACATGTGAACTCTTGTTCCTTAGCGTAGTGTAAATGCATGAAACATCTAGCCAACGAACTATGTAAATCATCATGGCGACCCAGTCCCACATAGTGAAACCCCGTTACGAGATATCTGTGTCAAGGGTCTGGAGTAACGACCCACTATATTTGTAGACATTCCCTGTAGTAATCTGACGGACTTTCACTGCAATGTCTCACATAGTGAGTGAGTGACTTTACTTTAACACCGCTTTCAACAGTATTCCATTAATATCACAGCGTGTCAGCTTCCTGTAGTAATAAACCCCGAAGTGAAGCCGGTCTCAGACGTTTACCATTTTGATGAAACCCACGAGCACGGGTATGGTGCTGACAAACCTAGAAACACAATGAGGGCAAATCTGGGATCCACGATGACAGGTTCCTGGCACGCCCAAGGGAAGTAAGTCTGCACGAAGTACACGACATGGCCACATAGGCTCCCGGTGCCAAACAGAAGAAGGTGTACATGAACCTTACTGAACTAAACCATTTCTTGAACCAGCCAGGTGATATCCCAATAACACACGCATGTCAACAAACTAGCAAAGGCTTATATGTCATTAAAAACAGACACCACTCGTAACAAAAGAAACAAAATGTTTTAACCTATTTACAAAACATATGATACACGGCTGTACATGTATTTGGTTATCACAGGTATGCTGACAAATATCACACTAAGTATTTCCTTGTGCAGACAGTATTTGGCATAGAGTAGACACGCCATTACTCAACACACAATGAGGACGGGTGTTTCAGTGTTCAAGTAAGTAGTGTTCAGTTTGTTTGCAGACTTCTAATTTACGAAGGGACCGACCATTTTGTAGTCTGTGATTTTACCGAAATAAATAAATTGTTCCAGAAAATGCTTGAAAAAAATAATGATGCTTCAGGCTGCTGAAAAATATGTCTGAAAACAAAAATACATTGTTTAATTTATAAGTATATAGTTTAAATTATCTTTAAATATCTTGGTTTGCAGCTCTAGCTGAAAAAATATCTAGTCTCCATACAAAATCCCAGCTCCCCACCTCCCCCCCCCCCCCCCCCCCTCCCCCCCATCAAATAGCTGGCCCCTAAAATTTACACCTCATGAAAAATATCTATTCATTAATTTGCAAACTGTTCAACCAAATAAATGTTATATTAAAAAAATAATAAAACATTTGTATCAAACTTTTTTAAAAGGTGAGCTTCAGTTCATATCTCTTGTTATTATATGGTGCTCAGATAACAATTTGAAAATATATTTTAGGTTGGGTAAGACTCAACTCTGAATTCTGAAAGTTCGTTAATAAACATTCCTATATTTATATACATGATCACAGTAAAATGTTCACAGTTACATTCACATATTGGTGTTTAGTGTCGGTAACACTCGTATTACAAATTGTTCGAGCTCACTTCATCAGTTCTTCAAGCTCATGTGAACAGTTTATTTACAAATACTCAACACTAGTCAGTGTGAGGACTCCTCTGTGGAGGCGCCATCTGACGGTAGACTGGTACAATGCCCTAATTGCGCTACGCAAGCAAAACTACACATAAGCTGGTTCCCGGCTCCCTATGCGAGTTGCCAACTTATATTGTGATATAAGAGACGGGGCCCAGCTTACGCTACACAATGTAGCGCAACTAGGACATGGTACTGGTTTACACAGGCACAGCCAGGACGATTGTTGAAGGTAATACTTTTGTTGGTTGGTCTGTTAAAGCTGGTTCCCACCAGTCATCTCCGTGGAGGCGAGTAGGGGGGCGGGTTGGACAGTATAGACATGGATGACGGGGGACCTGTAACAAAACAGAATGAGTGTGAGTGAGTGAGTTGGATTAAACGCCGCTTTTAACAGTATTCCAGTTACATCACGGCGTGTCAGCTTAATGTGGGAGGAAAGCCCGAAGTGATGCAGGTCTCAGACGTTTACCACTTCGGTGAAACCCACGAGCACGGGTATGGTGCTGACAAACCGAGAAACAGAATTGGGGCGAACCGGGATTCGAACCCACAATCATAGGTTTCTGGCGTGCCCAAGGGACGCAACTCTGCACAGCGAATCGCGGCGCCTTAAACGACTGGGCCACCCGTGCCCCCCAAAACAGAATGAGGGAATGAGTGTTGTGTTTACGCTGCAATCAGCAACAGAACAGCCATACAATGGCCTCTACCGAAGGCAAGGGTATAAACTGACTAAACATGTCCAGTTTCCACCCTTGCCGAACTAAGCTGCAGTTATATTTTGGCTGGACAAACGAGTCTATGCTAAATCCAATCAAAATCGCGAAACGAACTAGACATCCGGTTCGTAAACAACATAAATTTCAACGTGGAGATTTCGGTCTACTGAAGGATTTGCAAAGGATGTGTAGCGTCAACTGGGCGTCGACAGATAATTTGCAAATCTTTTCATGTTTTTAATCCAGGTTTTCACTTGATTTGATGCACTTCGCGAGGCAAGGTCCGTTTTATTACAATATCGATCATGATTAACGATCAGATTGTCTTGACTGGTCGCCGCCATGTTGTTTGAAGCAATTGCAGGTGATATGAGAGGTCGAATCTGATTGGTCATTAGGAGGGGCATAGAAGGGACATTACTCTCAATAGCCACTGGTGGCGCTACGATCGAGCCCATGATTGCTGCCTCGTTCGGCAAGGGTGGATACTGGACTTTTACAGTCAGTTAACTCTCTTGCCTCGGGAAGATGTTTAACACCTCACGTCACCTCACCTCACATTTTAAGTGGGCCTAAGTATTGGAATTACGTCGTAATTCCGTCATACGATATTGTGGATCAACCACGGCCTTGAACACAATTACTGACGGCTACGGTCACTTTACTGTTAGAGGATCAAGATATACATACGTGTTTGATTTCTGGGTGGCTCTCCTACATATCCCGGGGGTAATGACTGCGTTGCCATGGCAGTATTGTAGGACGGAGGGGGACACCCGGGATCGTTGAGGCTGTAGGGCGGAGGCTGGACGGGTACCACCATGGCGTTATTACGTCTTCCGCCTGTGAATGTAAAACACGTTGTAAATTGAGGCCGGTAGTTCAGAAAGCGATCAAACGTATGTGTACTTTTGATCGAAATGCAATCGAGTTAGTGATTGAATGTTGTTTGACGCCGCATAAGCCAAACTGTACCAGGCCGGCTGTAAACAACAAATCTAGTCCAAAGAACCCTGCGACTGAACGTGTAAATAACATTCAACGACATCGTGTACGATGACCGCCGTCTCTCCACATTTGTACAATGTGTGAAGCCAAGTTCTAGTGTAGAGCGATATTGCTGGAATATTGTTTGTTTGTTTGTTGTTTTACGCCGCACTCAGCAATATTCCAGCTATATGACGGCGGTCTGTAAATAATCGAGTCTGGACCAGACAATCCAGTGATTGACATCATGTGCATCGATCCACGCAATTCTGACCAATGACATGCATCAACCAAGTCAGCGAGCCTGACCACCCGATCCCGTTAGTCGCCTTTTACGACAAGCAATAGTCACCTTTTATGGCAAGCATGGGTTGCTGAAGACCTATTCAACCCCGGAATCTTCACGGGTCTGCTGGAATATTGCTAAGAGCGTCGTAAAACCATACTAATTCACTCACTCACTCCATGCAATATTATCGTTGTTATCGTTATTGTTATATTTCTCATTATCCTCATCTACATCGGCGTTGTTATTCTTATCATTATCATAACCCAAATCAATGCAATCATGTAACTGAGTGAGTGAATGAGTTGGGTTTTACGCCGCTTTGAGCAATATTCCAGCAATATCGCGCTTCTGAAGAAATGGGCTTCACACATTGTACCAATGTGGAGAGTCGAATCTTGGTCTCCGAGTGAACTCTTAAACACCAGGCTACCATGTCCTTTAAGTTATCATCACCATCATAATAGTTATTATTGGTATTCTTATCATCAGTGTCATCATCATCGCGTAAACGTAGCCGATAAGTGGCATGACCAACCCTGAAGCTTTGAGTGAGTGAGTGAGTGAGTATGGTTTTACGCCGCTTTTAGCAATATTCCAGCAATATCACGGCGGGGGACACCAGAGTGAGTGAGTATGGTTTTACGCCGCTTTAAGCAATATTCCAGCAATATCACGGCGGGGGACACCAGAGTGAGTGAGTATGGTTTTACGCCGCTTTTAGCAATATTCCAGCAATATCACGGCGGGGGACACCAGAAATGGGCTTCACACATTGTATCCATGTCGGGAATCGAACCCGGGTCTTCGGCGTGACGAGCGAACGCTTTAACCACTAGGCTACCCGACCGCCCCCTGAAGCTTTGAAGCCGATACTCTATACAATAAAATATCACTAAATATTTATTTATTTGTTTGTTGTTCAGCAATATTCCAGCTATATGACGACAGTCTGTAAATGATCATAGTCAAGACCAAACAATCACGTGATTAATATTGTGTTTGTTCGTTGTGTAACCCCGTACCCGGCAATATTCTAGCTATATGACGATGGTCTGTAAATAATCGAGTCTGAACGGGACAGTCCAGTAATTGACATCATTAACATCGATCCACGCAATTGGGATACGATGACATGCATCGACCAAGTCAGAGAGCCTGACCACCCGATCCCGTTAGTCGCCTCTTGCGACAAGCATAGTCGCCTTTTACGGCAAGCATGGGTTTGCTGAAGACCTATTCTATTGTGAGCAACATTCAGGCCGTCGGGGTAGGTAGACATGCCAAGTCACCGAGCCTGGCTACTCGGCCCAATATTTCTACTCTTATAAATTAGCCAGCAAAGGTTGCTGGGGACCAATTCTAACCCGGAGTCCCCATGGGAGTATCACTAAATGACAATGTGGTTTGGTGGAGTCGGTAGTTTGTAGTGTCACTATACGTACCGCTCATAGACGTGACTCTGTTCTTGGCCCGCACTTTACAGTAGAACATCACCAACACGCTGACTCCGATGAAGAATAAGACCAGGATGAACCTGAAACGAGTGAGTGAGTGAGTGAGTGAGTGAGTGGTTGAGGGTAGGATTCGTGGATATCTATTTCATCACCACATGATTCTTGTCCCTTAGAGTGTCAAACTTAAACTTTCTACATCCTTCATCCAAATTGTTTTATAGGCCCATAGTTCAACGTATTTACAAGGTATGGGTGTTTCTTCTAACTAACAATGCATCATGTATGTACAATGCAATATTTTGTAATAAAGTAATATTTGAGGTTGACATGAGTATGCAAAACAAATAAATATTTGGGTAAGTTATAAACTTCTTTGGAATATAATTGTTTCTTAATTGACGATAGAGTTTACACACAAGCATAAAATGATACTCATTTTCTACAACAATAAGGTTACAAGATGTACAGATATTGTTAGACTTTTTAAATATACCTTTATAGATCTTTAAATCATAATATCCTGCTCTGAACTATATCCTTCATGTACACACTTATCAAATAATGTATGCATTTTATTTTTTCTTGGTTTCCACGGGTAAATGAATGTTTTCACGAACTTTCCAGGCCTCTATTGAATATAGTCGCTTAGCAAATAGTCCAGTAGATGGCGTGTTTGAATCTATGGCTGATGTACCCGTTCACACAGTAATACAATACATCAAAACCATGAAAGATCGACAGTAGTCATGGTCGATCAATTCATGAAATGAGTTTACCTACTTAGTGTAGAGATCACGCGAAAACGTTTCGCGTTTGTAAACAAGTAGTATTCACTTAACATTGTCAACTTTTGAGTGCGAGGCGATAAAGCATGGACTGAAGGATTTGCTTCGCAACGAGCAGCCAAACAACCTCCGCGAATGGGGACGATAATAGCGTCAGTGAGCTACTGGACAGTCGATACATGCAATTATATCCGGGTTTCAACCAGTGTATTGTGTCAAGTACCATCCCTTGACTATATGGGTGTGGATGGGTACTGCTTTGTCATGGGGGAAGTAGTATCAGTATTAATACTTAAACGACTCATTTCAAATTATGTTGGACAAGAGACGCCAATCGGATGAAACACATTACCTTGTGTAAAGTTAGATACCTTCCGCCATCGTTCCTGGGGGAAATCCGGCCCAGACAGACACGAATTAACATGAGGATTGGTTGGTCACAATGGGAGACTAGACACAACGATGTTACGGCACTTATTAGTCTTGTGCACGAATATACCATCCATCGTTCTTGCGGACTAGAAAACACTGAATTATAATGAGGATTGGTTGTTCACAATGGGTATCTAGACACAACGATGTTACGGCACTTATTAGTCATGTGCACGAATATACCATCCATCGTTCTTGCGGACTAGAAAACACTGAATTATAATGAGGATTGGTTGGTCACAATGGGTGACTAGACACAGGGATGTTACGGCACTTATTAGTCTTGTGCACGAATATACCATCCATCGTTCTTGCGGACTAGAAAACACTGAATTATAATGAGGATTGGTTGGTCACAATGGGTGACTAGACACAACGATGTTACGGCACTTATTAGTCTTGTGCACGAATATACCATCCATCGTTCTTGCGGACTAGAAAACACTGAATTATAATGAGGATTGGTTGGTCACAATGGGTGACTAGTCACAACGATGTTACGGCACTTATTAGTCTTGTGCACGAATATACCATCCATCGTTCTTGCGGACTAGAAAACACTGAATTATAATGAGGATTGGTTGGTCACAATGGGTGACTAGACACAGGGATGTTACGGCACTTATTAGTCTTGTGCACGAATATACCATCCATCGTTCTTGCGGACTAGAAAACACTGAATTATAATGAGGATTGGTTGGTCACAATGGGTGACTAGACACAACGATGTTACGGCACTTATTAGTCTTGTGCACGAATATACCATCCATCGTTCTTGCGGACTAGAAAACACTGAATTATAATGAGGATTGGTTGGTCACAATGGGTGACTAGACACAGGGATGTTACGGCACTTATTAGTCTTGTGCACGAATGTACCCTCCGTCGTTCTTGCGGACTAGAAAACACTGAATATAATTAGGATTGGTTGGTCACAATGGGTGACTAGTCACAGGGATGTTACGGCACTTATTAGTCTTGTGCACGAATATACCATCCATCGTTCTTGCGGACTAGAAAACACTGAATTATAATGAAGATGGTTGGTCACAATGGGTGACTAGTCACAACGATGTTACGGCACTTATAAGTCTTGTACACGAATGTACCCTCCATCATTCTTGCGGACTAGAAAACACTGAATTATAATGAAGATGGTTGGTCACAATGGGTGACTAGACACAACGATGTTACGGCACTTATAAGTCTTGTACACGAATATACCATCCATCGTTCTTGCGGACTAGAAAACACTGAATTATAATGAGGATTGGTTGGTCACACTTGGTGAACGCTACACCAACGCGCTTCGCTAGCCTGTTTACGAACGTCCCCAGCAAGTACCAGCACGGACAATAAGCAGTTAACCTGATGACACTTAAGATATCCAGGAGGTCATGGCTGAAATTATACTATCACAAGCGGATGTATGTATTTTTATGTAATATATGTACACGCAGTTGTTATTTAACATTGTTAAATGAATGGAAGTTGAGTATGCGCTGAAATCTGATTGGTTGAAAAAAGGTGACTTAAGGTTCTACTGAACTATTCACTGCGTATGATTACTTTTCACAACCTATAAAGGCATAGTTTCTTCAATCATTAAACTTACATTAATGAAAACAAATTTTATTATAATGTCATTGATGGTGAACCCTATATTCGCTGGTGCCTTCAATGATATTACGCCCAGTATTGCTTTTTCAAGTCTATCCAGTTGAACTTAGGTTATATAGAACTCAAAGGGACCACTAAATTTAGTTCGTTATAACCGTAGTTCGTTATAAGCACATTTACAGCATATATACAGAAAATGGACGGGACCAAAAACAGTTCGTTATATCCGTCAGTTCGTTATAAGCGTGTTCGTCATAAACGTAGTTTACTGTACAGATGTTTGTAGCCTCTGTGAGTTGATGGGTGATTTATGTTGACCAGTGACGAGTCCTTCCAGGTAATCTGATTTGGCACTTCTGTTCCCCTTTTGAAATAAATAACAGGTTTAGACCAAGAGAAATTGTCACAGGGCAGTACCAAATTTATTTCGTACGGCAAAAAAATCCCACGATCTATTCTCTTTGTTCAAGGCAACAGTAGTAATCAATGTGTCACTTCTATATCCCGAAATCCTTCATGATCACTGACAATACTTTCTCGGCATATTTCCTGTGTAAGGAAGCCAGTTTGAGGGATGAAGGTGCAATATTAGACAGAAAAAGAAAACCCTTCCCTTTAACCAGCATTATGGCCATTAACTGTGGAGGACATCCATGTTTGAGTCCAATACTTTGATGACAAATAGCCTTGATCATCTGCCATGCAATTATCTATGTCTCTCAGCCTGATTACTGTCGGCATAATGACTGCTGTTAGAATTAAGTGTTTAATGGCCGTTAATTCATGTGGGTTTGGGTTGCAGTGACCGTCCTTCCCAGGTAGTGAGGTGAGGTGAAATGGGGTTTTGCGTCGCGTCCAGGATTATTGCGCTTATATAGCGACGTGCGCGCGTGCGTGGCGTGCGGTGCGAGGCGTGCGGTGCGTGGCGTGCGTGTGTATAGGCTTGTGTATGTGTGTATGTATATACGTGTGTCCGTGTGTGTATGTATTGGTGTATGTGTGTAAGTATGCACGTGTGTTTATGTGTGGGTGTATGTGAGTGTATGTATTTTTATATATGCGTGCATGTGTACATGTGTGTATGTGTGTCCGTGTGTGTATGTATTGGTGTATGTGTGTAAGTATGTTCGTGTGTTTATGTGTGAGTGTATGTATGTTTATATATGTGTGCATGTGTACATGTGTGTATGCATACGTGTGTGCGTGATTGTGACATGAAAGAGACGCTTGTCGAATCACATCCCATGGTATTGGTTGATGAGGCAGTGTAATCATCCATTAAGCTGATGATAAACTTTAATGGCGTACTCCCCGCGCAACTCGGCGACAACGGTTAAACATACGTGATGAATAGCTGTATAGTTGTACATTAACGCATCCACTAAACCCACACTCCCTCGGGTGATAATTGTAATCACTACTCAACCACCCTTTGTTGATTCTCACCGACCTGACGTGTCTGGTGTCATCAGTCAGTAGGTGCTCGTCCACTCAGAGGAAGTGTGTCACTAGACCAGTTCTTTCTGGCCTACACGTTATATTCCATGACGCATCTTCATTAGGCCTCTTTTATCAACTCAGGATTGGGGTTAATAAATTAGGGGTATTTGTTTCAGACAAAGCACCTAGAATACCATCCATTGACGGCATGCATGCGTCTTGGTCATATAAACACACAAAGTATCAATGCATTACCAATATGATTTATCCCTGGTATCAATACATTTAATATATGCTTTTACTTAGTAAGAATACATCTGGTGCATTTAATATCACATTACTGCTTCTTTTTATCGATACATATCCTGCGGTATTATAATTGTTGTTGTTGTTGTTGTTGTTGTTGTTGTTGTTGTTGTTGTAGAAATCCCTCCAACGTAAAAAAATCGTAAATGGCATTACGAACAGACCATTTGTCTGGCGCCTGGGATGTCTGGTTTGAGAGAGAATATCTGTTCAGTCAGTGCTTCAAAACGTATATTACTCTTTCTGTGTGTGGGTGAACCAACCAGTTTGTTTTGGTCCCACATCACATTATTTTAACGTACAACCATCATGATTTGAATCTTGGGGCAGACTGCTTTTCAGCAACATGCATTTTTTATAACCCCACCCCAAGCAGACAAAGACACACAGACACACACAGACAGAGAGTCAGACAGACACACACATACACACACACACGCACGCACGGACGTACGCATACACAACCATGTGTGTAACATGGATAAACATTGAACACC